CTTATTTAGGGGAGTGAGTAGGAGGTGGAGGACGCTTGTTGCGTATTCAAGAGCATCTGACTTCATTCTTTGTATGTTCTTTATAGTTAAGGGCGGTCTTCTCTGGAAGTGTGGATTTGGGTAGAAATATTAGAAGTTTTACTTTTAAGTTGTGATTGTCCATTTCCCTTCTATACAGACTCTTTTTCAAGGTGGCCACAGCGTGTTCTCTGTAGGAGGACCCAAGGGGACCCTCTGCGGCTGGTGTGACTGTTGCTATGTTGAGTTTGGAGTTACTCTCACACTGGGGGCTCAGCTGTGACACCAGGAGTCTCTGCCCGCCCCTCCCGTGTCTGAATGTCCATTTCTTTTCGTTGCTGCTTTTGCTCTGTTGGCCCCTCTGTCCCTTCCTTTCAACAACTGAGGCTCCTGTCTACTTTGCTTGGACTTTGTGACAATACTTCACTCCTGGCTGGTGTTTCTGTTGTGGCTCTTTGCTCTTATACCACATGTCTCCTTAAAGCAGTGCATCCTACTGTCTGAGTTGTGGCTCCTTTGGTTCCAAGGACTGCAGATCCACTCTCTACCTGATGGAAACGTGAATTCATTGCAAGACTGTTTTTCACCAGAATGCACCGGGACCAGAAAAGAACAACAAAACCCGTTTCTCCACTCGAGGGCCCACTGACCTCCTCCACTGCATCTCCAGGTGTTCGCGAATTGAGTTAGACCAAAGGTTTAGAACTACAAAGGTAAGATTTAAAAAAATGTTTTGTGGTATGAAATATTTACACCTCAAAAACAATAAAGCAAATAACGTAGCTGAGCCAATGAACCAATGAATAGTTGGCATCCTTTTCCACGGGCCTATTGTTTCACAGAAGAGGTGAGATTAATAGGAAGTAACACCTAGATCAGACCTCTCATCCCGATATCCCCAACACAACCTAAATTCTAAAGTGCAAATTTCAGACCTTAAAATAATGTTTAATTTAGCCCTGGCTGGCGTAGCTCAGTGGATTGAGCAGCGGGGCTGCGAACCAAAGCATCGCAGGTTCGATTCCCTGTCAGGGGCACATGCCTGGGTTGCAGGCCACATCCCCAGTAGGGGCCACGTGAGAGGCAACCACACATTGATGTTTCTCTCTCTCTTTCTCCCTCCCTTCCCCTCTCTAAAAATAAATAAATAAAATCTTTACAATAAATAAATAAGTGAAAATGAAAAAAAATCCATTAGATGAGACTTTTAAAAAATAATGTTTAATTTAAAATATTTTAAAGAAAAATGCAAAGACCTTTCAAACCACAGTTTCTTCTGTGGATTGTATTTATTTGATGTGACTATGAAACAAAGTATATACAATTATATATAATATACTATAACTAAGACAGTAAAATAACTTAAGGTCAGACAGAAGAAGAATTTTGTTGAAGGTATTTAATGTGTTCAGACAATAACTTCAGATATTGGATAAATGGCTTTGAATATTTTTGTCCAGAGCCCTCAGGAAAAAAAATATATTTTATATAGCAATACAGTAAGCCCTGCAGTACAAGTTACACAAAACAATATTTAACTTCTTACGTAAATAATCTGATATTTTCTACTACATTCTCTTTTCCTTTTTTTTTTTTTCTTAAGGTTTTGTTATGAACCACAAAGCTGATTTTACAAACTACTTCTTCAAAGTGCAGGTTGGAAAATGTTTCTTTGTTAACAAATAATGACAATATTTAATGATAAAAACAGCCATGTAGCCACCAACCACATGGCTTTGAAAAATCTTGACATTTTGCCATATCTGCTTTAGATGGTTTTTTCCAACAGTGTAGCTGGAATCAAAGGTCCCTTTGTACGGGTCCTGGGTCAGGCACGCCTTCCTCCTTCCAGCAGGCAAGAACTGTCCTGAATTTGGTCATTACTGTCCCCATGCCTGCTTTTATATAATTACTGAAAAGGTGTGAATTCGTAGTCTCCATCAATGCAAGGGGCACACTTATTTAGGTTCCCTGACTGTGTACTGAATGTTTGTATCCCTCAAATCCGTATGTTGAAGCCTAATTCCCCAGGTAATGGTATTTGAAGGAGGAGGATATATATATATAGTTTTATTTGCCTTTGATGATCCCTTCTTTTCTTTTTTTCAAGATTTTATTTATTTATTTATTTTTTTAGAGAGGGAAGGGAGGGAGAAAGAGAGAGAGAGAAACATCAATGTGCGGTTGCTGGGGGCCTTGGCCTGCAACCCAGGCATGTACCCTGACTGGGAATCGAACCTGCGACGCTTTGGTTCGCAGCCTACACTCAATCCACTGAGCTATGCCAGCCAGGGCTGATGATCCCTTATTTTCAATTTTTTGGTGGTTATGTGTCTTATTGCTAAATTTAAAAAATTTTAGTACACTTTATTTTTTTACAGCAGCAAAATCTGGGTTCACAGAAAAATTTATCAGAGAGTACGGAGTTCCCATATACCTCCTGACCCAACACGTACAAAGCCTCCATCACTACCAGCAACCTGTGTCAGAGAGGTACATTTCTTACAACTGGTGAAGCTACATCAACACGTTGATACTACTCAAAGTCCATTGCTTACTTAGGGTTCACTCCTGATGTTGTCCTATATCCTGTGTTTTGACAAATGCATAATGACATGTACTCTCATCACAGCGTCGGACAGAATAGTTTCACTTCCCTAAACGTCCTCTGTTCTGTATTTATTGGTCCCTCTTTTCTAACCCCTGGGAATCACTGATCTTTTTATTGTCTCCGTGGTTTTGTCTCTTCCAGATGTCATATAGCTGGTACCATACAGTTATTAGCCTTTACAGACTGGCTTTTTTCAATTAGTACTGTGCATTTAAGTTTCCTCCTTGCCTCTTCATGGTTTAATACCTCATTTATTTTAGTGTGGATTCATATTCTATCATCTGAATGTACTGTAGTTTATCTGTTTGCCTACCGAAAGACATCTTGCTTGCTTCTGAGTTTTTTCAAACCACCCTCCTGGTACCCACCCTCCAGATCTCCTGACATACTCTATCAGAACTGCCTGACGTCTGACTGACAGCCGCCCTGGACCAATCCTAGGGCTAAGAGTGCAGAACTTACTGTTCTCAAGATGGGACTTTTTACTCTAAGAACTCTTAGCTTTTCTTTTCTTCATTAGCATCCTTCTGGGTTTTTGCCTCATCATGTTTCTCGTTTGCAAATCGTAAGACTGTTGAATAAACCCATCACGTATTTCTAGCCCAGGCCTCCAGGCTGCTTTTGATTCCTTCAACAGATGTCACACACATTCCTGTAGAGGTTGTTGTATGTACATGACTTTCAGTTTGTCTGAGTACCAAGGAGCACAAGTCCCGTATCTAGGGCAAGAGTATGTTTAGTTTTGCAAGAAACTGCCCAGCTGTCTTCCAAAGTGTCTGCAACATTCTGCACTCCCACCAGCGATGAGTGAGAGTTCCTGTTGCTCCACAGCCTCCACAGCGTTTGATGTTGTCTGTGTTCTGGGTTTTGGCCCTTTCAGTAGACGTGTAGTGGTATCTCCTTATTAGTTTATTTCCATTTCCCTAGTGGCATACCATGGAATTGCTCGGTTTTCACGTTTTCACTTCTAGGCTGGGGAGTGCGTGGGTGTCAGGGGAGAGTGGTGTGCTCAGACCGAGCATGAAAGCCTCAAGCCTTTTCTCTGTACCTGTTTCTATGCATCTCTTCCATCTGGCTGTTCCTGATTTATATCCTTTTGTGACATCCTGGTGGAAATGTCTCTCTGAGTTCCGTGAGCTGCTCTAGCAAATTAATGGAACCCAAGGGAATGGGTTTGTTGGAACCTTCCGTCTACAACCAGTTAATCAGAAGTGCTGGACTTGCCATTGGCACCTGAAGTGGGGGGGAAGGGGATAGTCTTATGAGGCTGAACCCTTGGCCCGTGGGGTCTGATGCTGTCGCTAAGTGGTGATGCTGTCAAAATTGAGTTAATTGCCTGCTGTTGGTATGGGAAACTCCCTCCCCACCAACTGGAATTGGGTTAAGAACACTTTCTTTGCCCAAACTTGTTATTTCCATGTTCTTTTTTATGTTATAGTAGCCATCCTAATGGGTGTGAAATCTTTTCCTTTCACTGTGTGTTTAACCAATTCACATTTTAAAATAGTTACTGATTCCTGATGTCTATGTTTTTTAAAATTTTTATGCATTCTTTTTTAACTTTTCTATTTTTTATTTACTGTTTTTTTTTTTTATTGGATAGATTGAATTTTCCCTTTTTACCTCTTCTCTATCCTCACATGTAGTTTGGAAAATTATGATAGTATCTCCATTCTATTGATAGCCCTTAATTTTTTAGTCATTATTAAAGTTCTTATTTATTGAATACTTACTATATTCCAGTCCTTATGTAGGTCTTTTTATACAGATTATCTCATTTAATCCTTACAATACTTCTATGAGTTTCATTGTATTTCTTTAAATAAAATTTTACTTTAGGCTAATTTGGGATGTATAGAAAAATGGCAAAACAGCATTGGGAGTCCCTATATACTCCATACCCAGTCTCCCTTATTATGCACATCTTTCACTGAGATGGTACATTTGTCAGAATTCATGACCCCATATTGATTCCTTTTTTAACTGAAGTTTATACTTTATTCATATTTAGATTTTGTCAAATGTTATTCATCTGTTCCAGGAGACCACATTACATTTGGGCTCCTCTTGGCTGTGATAGTTTCTTAGTCTTTCCTTATTTTTGATAACTTTGACAATTTTGAGGAGATGGCTATTAATTGCAATTAATGACCTTCTCCTTAAACATGCTTTTCTACAAGAATTTAACATAAATCAGTATAACTTTCTCCTCTGGGACCAGAATACAAACTAAAGCATCTCATGTTGTGTTGCAATAATCTGAAATTTTAGTTCCAGTTTATCGGTGATGTTGGCTCTTAGTTCTCAAGTTCAGCAAGGAAAGAATTCAGAGCCAAGAACTCAAGCGCAAGAGGAAGTTTATTTAGCATGCAAAGTGAAAGTGCACTTGAGGAGAAGATTGGAGTGGGCTGCTCAGAGAGCTGCCCTAGCCTTTTAGAAAGAAAGTCGGAGGCAGAAGAAGTGAGCCAGCTGCGTACGTGGACTGCGGAAACAGGTTGTGAGGCAAAGTGAGAGCCCTTGGAGACAGGCTCAGGGGGTGAGTGCAGGATACGCTGCCGCTGCCTGTAGCTCCTCTGGTTGCAAGTCTTGTGGGAATCCTTAGGGCTCAGGGGAAAGACAGCAAAGATACACACCTGAAGAAAGAAGGTGCAGGTGTGCTCTAGGAGGAGAGTGCACACACTGGGTCCTTTGTCTTAAGGGTTTTTATCCATTTTTCTAAAGGCGGGAATTTCACTGAGGGTCTCAGGGGAGGACCTCAATAAAATATTCATCAGCTTTCCAGGTGTGTCCTTTAACATGCTGATGCATCGAAGTGAGTGAATAGGTCATTCTCCACTCAGTTTCACCTTCAGAGAGTGTCACCAAAGAGGGACCAGGACAAGCAGGCCTGCCCCAGCATGATCTGGAATGTATAAGACAAGACCTTAGGATTTATTACCGGGCTGCAAATTGCAAGGCCAGTGTGTTCAGCCGTCTGTCTCAGTTTCCCTGTTCCACTTGCCAAGGAATTTTCCTGGCTTCTTACTATCCTGCCTCATTTTTAATTTTCCTGTTTTGTTTTTTAAAAACCCTTTTATAAGCCCCGTCTGGCATAGCTCAGTGGATTGAGCACAGGCTGCGAACTAAAGTGTCACAGGTTCGATTCCCAGTCAGGGCACATGCCTGGGTTGCAGGCCATGGCCCCCAGCAACCGCACATTGATGTTTCTCTCCCTCTCTCTTTCTCCCTCCCTTCCCTCTCTAAAAATAAATAAATAAAATCTTAAAAAACAAAAACAAACCCTTTTATAAATGTGTTAACCTTGATATTATGTATAAATTTTACTAGTTTATTTTTTCATTGCTTTTGCATGTTTTCAAAATTTTTCAGGGAGAATGAATGGATCATAAATTTCATTCCTTTATGCCCACGCCATTTTTATCTGCAAAATGGAGGTGATACCTTTCTCATAGAGTTGTTTACGATTAAGTGAGGCAAGAGTTTTAAGTGTTTAGCAGAGTGCCTGGCACCTTATAAGCAATTAATAAAAGTTAGCTGCCCTGGCTGGCATAGCTCTGTGGATTGAGTGCGGGCTGGGGACCAAAGTGTCGCAGGTTCGATTTCCAGTCAGGGCACATGCCTGGGTTGCAGGCCATGACCCCCAGCAATCGCACATTGATGTTTCTCTCTCTCTCTCTTTCTCTACAAATAAATAAATAAAATCTTAAAAAAAAAGAATCCAGCTATTTCTGAATTGTTTAAAAAATAAAAATAAAAAAATAAATGTTAGCTCTTGTTACTGCTGTAATAAGCAAGGATTATTTTGTACGTACAAAGAAATATACATAAAGACGTATGCAAATGACAAGAAATAGTGGCAAGGTGGCTATAATAAAGAGATTTCACACAACCATAGAACTGGTGACATAACCCCTATGATCTACTTGATAAATATGGAAAAGGCCTGAGCATGTTTGCCAGCCACGCTAACCTGGGCTATGCTGTCATCCGTGATCCAGAGCCACAAAACCCATCTGTCTCCTCTGAGGTCACTGGAGTTGATCAGCTGCTCTGTCCCCTTGGCGCGAGTCAGGAGGGTTCTGGGGAAGTGTCTTCCTGCTTACAAAGAGTGACAATTGAGTTCAAAGATGAATAAGCAGAAAATAACACTTGAGAAGCATATGTCACGTCAAACGCAGAATGTATCTTCCAGAGGGAGGAATAAAGCCCCAGAGTATTCTTTATGCAGACCCAAATTTCTTCAATGGATTCTCTGTTATTCATGAGCGAGGAGAGAGAACAAATTGTTATGCCTGACACCGGATTTCAGGACTGGCACTCTGCGGTATGACTCATGTCACTATATTTAATATTTGCAGTGTCATAGAGTAAGTCCTATTTGGTCCAGGGAAGCCTTCCCCCAGGGAGATCCCTTCTCTCCCAGACACCTGCCTACAGACCCCGTCTTACAGGCTGGCCTTGGTATGGCGTGGAAATTCATTGCCCCGTTGAATGGCAGTCCTGTGACTTCATAAAGGCCAGTGCTGACGAAACACATCTAGCTCTTTCATATTAACTTCAGAATGTGTTGCTGGTACAAGACAGGTGTTTACTGCTCTTGACCTCGTGAAAGGTCTGTGACCAGCCTGAGTTTTTAATAACAAGGGCCTCTGCTGATTGGCTGTGCTCAGAGGATGGGATCCTGAAACCTGGCATACGAGAGAAAAGGGAAAAGAAAAGTCAGATTACTAGACGTGTGTGGGCTTGTGACCGTGAGGTAGGACATTGTGTTCAAATCTTACAATGTTCTTGTAAACATTGATGGCCTAATACTTAAATGACAAATGACATGGCTCCGTCAGTTGCTACTTGAAAAGCTTTCACAGGAAAGAGATAAAGGATAATGTGGCTAATAAAGGAAATGCTGATAAAGTATTAAAAAGAACAGAACACTTCGGATGGCTGCTCCCTCCAACTGGGAGCATGGGAAATAAGCAAACAGAAAATAAAACAGCTGGGGGCTCAGAGGAAATAAGAAAGGGGTTTTTTCCTCGTGCGTTCCCCCAAATAGAAACCACGAGGAAAAATAAAGCTCTCCCAAATCATGATAGGGGAACACTTAAGAATTCTAATATTGTAAGTAGACATTTGGGCTGCGTTTTCCCTTCAAAGTGAGAACAGGAAATAAATCCTTACGAATCAACTAAGAGACTAATAAAGCAATAGGACTATTTCCAGAGGTTTAGAGTAAATCATTAAAACAAACAAACAAACAAATGTGAAACAATATAATGAAGACATTTGTCAGATGTCACATATGACAACAACTATACAAACCAAGCTTTTTCCAGGAGCAAATAAGATATAAAGTACTTTTGAAACTGTAAACCATGATTTAACTGTGTGGCGATATTAGCATTATTTGGGAAAATAAAACTCTTCTCCCTTTTCCCACTTCCTGTTCCTTACGGTTACCTTCAGATGCAAGAGTTGAACCTGATCGGCCTGATGGGAAATGGAACACACAAAATGAGACTTCTCCATCTCTCAGGGTCAGTGGTGAAAAGATTTGTTTTCCCGGTTATTATTTAAAAATTGTTATGAACAATTTCAGAGAGACAGAAAGAGAAACATACCAAGCGCCACGTGCTTACCCCTCCCTTCAACGCTGACCTGCTCTGGGCGGTCCACCCCCTCTCGCCCCCACCCCGTCCACCAGCTCATGCTGTTCTGAAGCAAACACCACGCATCGCCATCCTCTCCGTTAGAATGCCTGAAAGGTAAAAACACTTCAGAAAGAACATGAACCTTAACACTGTTATGGCCTCTTAAAATGGGACCAGTACTTTAATTTCAGCAAAATCCCAGTCAGTGTTCCATGGGCTTGCTTGTTCTATCCTTTTTTTTTAACCTGTTAAAATCAGGATCCCAAAAAGGCCCATCCATTGTGATTGATTGATGTGTCTCCTAAGACTCCTGGAATCTGTGAGCATTGTCATGACAGCCCTCTCTCTCATTCATTCATATTCTCTCTCCCTTCCTCTCTCTTCCTCCCCACCCCTCCTCTCTCCCCCTGCCTCTCTCCTCTACACCTCCCACCCCCAAGGGCTGACCCAGGACCTGGTTGACTCACCGTTTCACCCTCTCCCATTCTCTCCAGGCTCTGATGGCTCTGAGGATCTAGAAGAGATTTAGGATCTAGGACGGGGTGAGAAAACTGTTTTTGAGGAGCCCCTCCAACATGACTGAGGATGATGACTTCCTTAGCCCTCACTAAAGCTTCTGTTCCTCACTGGTGTGAGAAACCCGGGAGTTCCTCCAGTGGAAATTTCTGTGGAAGTTTCAAGTACGTTGCCAGTCATGTTACCATCCCAGGATGTTTTGGAGGGGGGAGTTTTCCGCAGGAAGTACAAGCAAAACTGAATCATGAGCAATTTATGTGACTACCTTCAGGGTATCCATAAGTTAAACCGGATAATTATTCACAGGCTCAGAAAGCCCTGGGACCAGAAGCCCTGGCTGTAAAGCAAAGACAGAAAAAGTCAGATGTTTCCTTAGTACCCATTTAAAAGAGGAAAAGCAATGAGAGAATATGTAATTTAAGTAAAGGACGATGGCGAGATACCAGTAAGTAGGTATCCAACCCAGTTATTCAATATGACGACAGTACACATGACACAAAAAATACTGTCCCTTTTCCTCAAAGTTTCAAGAACTGGCTCATTGAGATTTTTGAGAAATGACTCCGTCCACCACCGCCTCCCATCCGTTTCACAGCCGAGAATTTGGCTTCCCAGGGGGCTGTGAGCTTGGCCCCAGGGTGAGGAGCCACTCGTCTGTGGAGCGCACCACACGACACAGGCCACCTGGCTGACTCCGGGGCTCCCCGTCTCCTCTGCCTCCTTCTGCCAGGTCTGAGAGAGAATTCACAAAGTGTTCGCAGCAATTCGAAGGAAATAACACCAGCAACAAAGGTCACCTGGTATCACCAACAGGTTGAACCTGGAGATTCCTCTGCAGGGGAGAAAAAACTCACCCTCTGCCCTCCTGGGCTGGGTAGCTGAGACCGCAGTATACAGACAACAGGCACTTTCACAGAGAAGGCATGCAGACTATTAGTGCTTAATGTTCATCTGGGGGAGCATCACAAGGAAAAGGAAGTGAGTAACTGATGAGCTTTGAGAGCTCCTGTGCCCTCCTCATAGGGGAAGGGTAGGGGAGGGTAGCTCCCTCAAGGGAGAGTCAACTTTAGGAGAGACGAAGGGGACTTTAGAAGGCTACATGGGAAGTATCACAGTCTGTGACAAAGCTCGGTTGTGATGCTGACTCCTAGTCTCCTGTGACATAGTCCGTCTTCCTGGAGTGATGGACATTCCTTGGGGGGGGCGGGGCCGGCATTTATGACAACCGAGTACCTTTTGCAGGAGGATGCGGGTGCAGGTGAATGAGGGGAGTTCAAGGTAAGCCTCTCCCTACATTTGCTGTTTTCCTAGTGCCCTCACTTTTTTTTTCAGCTCAAAATAGTCCATACACCAGGATTGCACGTCCTGAAGTCCTTTACCCTTAAGTTCATCAGAAAGTTTGTTGACTACTTCTATGTCACATAAACACTTTGAGGATTCTTTTGTGTTTAGTCTTGTGTCTCAGACTGTTATCATTACCAATTTGTTCTACCGCCCTCCTTTAACAGATAAGAACACGGGGGCCTAGAGAGGCCGAGGGCTTGCCCCAGGCAAGCAGGGTGTGCGTGGCAGGGCCTGCCCAGAACCCAGTCCCCGCAGTGCTTGGTCTCCGCTTTCTTTTTTTTTTAATCTTTTTTTTTTTAAGATTTTATTTATTTATTTATTTTTAGAGAGAGAAGGGAGGGGGAGAGAGAGAGAGAGAGAGAGAGAGAGAGAAACATCAATGTGCGGTTGCTGGGGGTCATGTCCTGCAGCCCAAGTGTGTGCCCTGGCTGGGAATCGAACCTGGGACACTTTGGTTCCCAGCCCGAGCTCAATCCACTGAGCTACACCAGCCAGGGCTTGGTCTCGGCTTTCTCACCCGGAGAACCAGCGCTGCTCAGCGGCCAGGCGTTTGTGCAGGAGCAGCTTCCGCTTGTGGCTCCAATAACGGACACAAGAATCTCCAGTGACAGCATTTCATGGGCAGGTGAGGGGAAAAGTCCCCACTGGGAACACACTGTAAATGAAAAGCTGTGAAAATGCCTGCCTCTCCGTGAGAAAGTGTTTAACCTGCTTCCTGGAGTGACTTGGGTTAGGGAGCACCTAGTAAGCACACGCTGACCCAGTTAACAATGGAGAAAACCTCAAACTTCCGCCCTGGGCAGCCTGGGAGAGAAAGTGGTGGCTCTTTAATAAAGGCACAAAAATGCTATCTCCTTTTTTGTTGTTGTTTATAAAGTAATGCACGCCCATAGAAACGGTTTCAATGGGAACCTGAACGGGACCACGAGGTCACATCTAGCACGTGGGCCATTCGATAAGACAACTCAAGTCCCATCTTCAAAAAGCTCAGCGTCATGAAAACCAAAAAAGGCCTGGTAGGGTGGGGACTATTCTGTAATGTAGACGTGCAAAGAGGTGGAACAACCGAATGCAAACTAACATCTGATAAAGTCCCAGATGGGAAAAAAGATACATAAACAACATTCGGAGTACTGTTTAGGAAATTCATGGATTGTATACCAATCCACTTAGGAGATCACAGGGAATTATTGTCAATTTGCTTAGAGGTGATGATGATTTTCCACGTATGGAGGACAGTGTCCTTGCTCTCAAGAGACCCCAGCTGGAATGTTTATGAATGAAGCCTTGTGATGTTCTCAGCTCCCTCTACGTGGGTCACAGGAAAACGAGGGAGAAGTAATGCCGATGTAGAATGCAGGTGAAGAGTATGTGGATATTCATTGCATTGTTCTTTAAATAAATTTATATAGATTTAAAAACTTTTTCAAAATACAAGTCAGAGACAAATGTCTAGTGGGAAAAATCTCATTACAAAAAAAAAATTGTGGTCCCCTGTTTCAACCACTTCCTGTTTCCAGGGTATCTGCTTTCAATGTATTTCGTTGCTTGTTCTGGTATTTACCCCAAATTTAAAAATAAAGGCAAATACTGCTATTCGTTGAGCCTACAATTTAGATCTAACTAATAACTTTCTAGTAGTGAGTGACAGTGTTAGTTAGCTCTTTTGTGTTGAGATTCATGGTCAACCTTTTCGCTGTTATAACGCAACAGTTCAGGACCATATGCTGATTAATAAAACAGTACGCACATACAATGATTACAATTCCTAAATTGTAAAACTACCTTTTCTATTGGACTTAATTGCTTTACTTCTTCAATTGCTTTGGTTTGTATGAGCTATTGCTAAATGTTTTCTCACCGAAGAGCCACAGCTCTGTAATACCACCCCTTCCCTCCCAGGTGCCCTCCACCAGCCCCCTGTTCTCTCACAGGACACCTGCTCGGGTCCGGGCTGCGTGCCCCCTGGGCTCGCGGCACAAGGACTGCCTGGGACTCCCTCCGCCGCCGCCCTGGGAATTCCTGCGGTGCCTGTCCCGTGTTGGATCCTAGATTCCCGAGTCCCATTTCTTCTTCTTTGCTTCCTTATCCTTACAGCTATCTGTTGTTTTGCTGAGGAGTTGAATTCCATCCTGATTCCTGATAGTTTGTGGGTGACCTT